TGTCCCCTGCATCGGCAGGCGGACTCTCAACCACTGCGCCACCAGGGAAGCCCCTAATCTTGAATCTTAACCTTTTTCAACCATCCTCAGTCGACGCTTTCTTTGCTTTGTGTTAATGTTTTTCTGATTTACTTTAACATTTCTTTATTATCCAGGCATTTCACAAGCATATTTCTTATGTATCTTTTAAAAATATAAATTAATTTTTACCTCTATTAAGGGCTGTTTTTTCCAGTTTTATGTTTTCTTTTATTTCTGTAAAAATTCCCCTTTTACCAGTTGGATTGACTTGAACAAAGAAGAATGATTTTTCCAGGCACTCTGGTGACTTGTTTTATGTTCTCTCTGGATGCATAACACTTTGTCTTGCAGTAGACTGCACACATCCTCCACTAAGGACCTGGTTTTAGTTCAGGTTCCATTACCTTCTAGCTGTGTAACTTTGGGCAGGTGTCTTAAATCTTTAAGCCTCAGTTTCTACATCTGTAAATTAGGTAGTTGTTGTAGGCAACAAATAATAGTTGTGAAGGCACTTGCTAGACCTTAAAATATTAAAGTGTAAGTTATTTATCTGGTTAAAAATGCTATGTAACTTCTCACCTCTTCCTAGTCAAATTGGGCCTTAGTTATTTAGTCAGTGTTTTATAGTTAAACTAAATTGCAAAATTCACTGGTTGACTATTCCAAGTGGGGCAAAGGCAAGCCACTTTTAAATTTAACCACTGTGGAGGAACACTTAGCTGAGGTTCTAAATACAAAAACATCCGAATAACAGGATTGTTCTAAAAGATACTTTTTAAAAAAAGGATTCATCCTTTAATTTACAGTATTACACTAAGGATTATACGAATGTCTACTATGAATGATAGCTATTTCTGCAAGATAAAGTTTTTTCTTTGTACATTTCTGCATTGTTATCCTTTTTATAAGCATGCATCATTTTTACAAAAACAGTTGAATTTTACAAAACCAGTGTGTGGCATGTGTCAGTTAATCTGTCAGGCTGCACATGGCTGGTGACATTACAGCAGCCCAGTCCCTGAGCTGTGGCCAGGGTGGGGTGGAATGGCCCTCGCAGTGACATGGCAGCTGGATTGGTAATGCGCAAATTATGATAGTTCTAAGTCACTTATTCTTTGGTTGGTTACAGTGTGAAACTCTGGAAATGTGATTAACCTAGAAGAGGCTTCATCTAGAAGAGGTTAGATCTCAGACGTTCCCGGGTAAACAATTTATTGCAATGTGTTGGCAGGTCTTTGCCAATATCATTTTTTTTCATTTGGTCTTTTAGTTTTTTTGGTTGCTGTTAAAATGATGTATGCATGTGCTATTAAAAAGCCTCTAAATGTTCTTCTTATTCCATTTAGCTAAGGAAGGAAAAGTGATATTAGGCCATTTTATAGACAAAGACGTCAAACCCACCTGGCCTGAAGTCTTTTTTTTTTTTTAAAGAAGATGTTGGGGGTAGGAGTTTATTAATTAATTTATTTTTGCTGTGTTGGGTCTTTGTTTCTGTGCGAGGGCTTTCTCTGGTTGTGGCAAGTGGGGGCCGCTCTTCATCGCGGTGCGTGGGCCTCTCACTGTCACGGCCTCTCTTGTTGCGGAGCACAGGCTCCAGACGCGCAGGCTCAGTAGTTGTGGCTCACGGGCCCAGTTGCTCTGCGGCATGTGGGATCCTCCCAGACCAGGGCTCGAACCCGTGTCCCCTGCATTGGCAGGCAGATTCTCAACCACTGCGCCACCAGGGAAGCCCTTGCCTGAAGTCATAACTTTTCAGTTTCCCATGTATAAATTAGAGTTGGTGCTTGCAATGATATTTTTCTCATTATCATTCTAAAAAGATGAACAGAATTGAATTTCTCTAATATTTTAATTTTTCTTATCCCAGGTATGGGGAAAGGAAAAATAACCCCATTTTCCCCAAAATATTTAAAAAATCATAGATCTCTTTTATTTTCAAGGGTTTGGATACTTAAAGAAGATTATTTGAAGACTCCTTTTGGAATCAAATAGCATGGATCCCAGCAGTGACTACCATTTCCTCAACCAGATTTTGTGGAGAAGAGTGAAACTCACATTGGTTTGTGGCATCTTTGAGGGAGTGCTCCAGCATGTGGACCCTAACAAGATTGTTGTCCTGAAGAAAGGTCTCATTTTATTTCTCATAATCTCCTGCCTTTTAGGAGACTAATAACTCAGTTTGGGTGATGGTTCTGCGCTCCCTTAGCAACTGGGAGAGTGGCATTATTCCTATTTTAGGGTAAGGGTGGGAGGAGGATTAGAATGCTGTTTTCCCTAACAGAGCAACATGGCTGCATATGCTGGCTTGTTCCCACTTCTATACTTTTATTGACATGATAGTGGAAATTTTCAGTATAGAGAGTTTTTTTTAACTGGGTACTTCTTTTAATTTTCTCCATATGCACCTTGAAATTAAAAATAACCACTGTATTAGAATTGCTTTTGGCTTCAACAGACAAATTCACAAAGACTGTAAGGGGTTAATTTTTCTCATGCAAAAAGAAGCCCAGAGGTAGACTACTGAGGAATAGTGTAGTGGCTGAAAGATACCAGGAGGGATCAGGTGTCTTGTGCTCCTGCTCTGCCACCTCAGCTACCATGTGTTATCCTCTTGGTCACAAGGTAGCCTTTACACCTCCCAGTTTCAATTCCAATTCTTTTTTGGTTTTTTTTGCGGTACGCGGTCCTCTCACTGTTGTGGCCTCTCCCGTTGCGGAGCACGGGCTCCGGACGCGCAGGCTCAGCGGCCATGGCTCACAGGCCTAGCCGCTCCGGGGCATGTGGGATCTTCCCGGACCGGAGCACGAACCCGTGTCCCCTACATCGGCAGGCGGACTCTCAACCACTGTGCCACCAGGGAAGCCCTCCAATTCATTTTTAAAGGATAAAATTCAGGAACAGCCAGATGGAAGAGATTTATAGGGCAAGGTATGTGGGAAGGGGCTCAGAGTTTCTACCCTCTCTAGGCATGCCACCATCTTAGCCTCCTCCATGTGCTCACCTTGAAGCCCCAATATATAGTTTTTATTCAGCTAGAATATTGACTTGTTAAGAGTGTTGATTTCCTGGCACAATAAATTTCAAGTTCACAGTTGAAACGTGTAAATGACATTTGAGGGATTAGTGTTATTGTTAAGCCATATTATGAGTTAAAATAGACTTTTGTAGGCTAGGATGGGACTATACCAGGCTTTTGCAATATTAATTCATTTGGTAATCATTTACTGAGTTTTATATCCCAGGCACTGTGCTGGGTACCAGGGATATGGATAAGAATAACATGGTCTCTGTCCTCAAAAAACTTTGTCTAGTAAGGAGACAGGTAAACAAGTAGAAAGGTGTAATGCAGTGTGATACCCTCTGTGATAGAGGGACGCACAGGATGCTGTGGAAACACAAAATTTCAGCTAATATAGATCTGAGAATGGTAGGGTTAGGACAGTGGGGAAGGCTTCCCAAAGGAGGAATTGATGGTGGAACTGTTACATCTGCTTACTAATTTATGTACCATTTGGACAAAGCAGGGAGTGACATCACTATGACAGTAGCATGAAGGAAGGTTTGAAGTAGCAATAAACTAGAGACAAGGAGAATAGACAGGGACTATTTAGACAATCAAGGGACCCAATAAAGAGGAAATGATGGGAGTCAGAGCTAAGGTTTGGCAAGGAATGGAGAAGAGAAGACAGATTCTAGAAATGCTTAGGAATGAGGATAAGTAACCTAGTAATCAGTTAGATCAGGGGTCCCCAGTCCCCAGACCGGTACTAGTCCATGGCCTGTTAGGAACCGGGCTGCACAGCAGGAGGTGAATGGCAGGCGAGCGAGCAAAGCTTCATCTGTATTTACAGCCGCTCCCCATCACTTGCACTGCCTGAGCTCCACCTCCTGTCAGCATTATGGTGAGTTGTGTAATTATTTCATTACATATTACAATGTAATAATAATAGAAATAAAGTGCACAATAAATGTAATGTGCTTGAATCAGCCCGAAACCATCCCCCCACCCCAGTCCATGGAAAAATTGTCTTCCACGAAACCGGTCCCTGGTGCCAAAAAGGTTGGGGACTGCTGAATTAGATAGTCAAAGAGCCTCCTACATTTATAACTCAGATTATGTGTATAGTACTATTATTAATTGATAGAAATGGGAAGAGGAACAGGTTTGTTGGTTCGTGGGAGAAGATAATGATCAATTTGAAAAATATTGCAGTAAGTCTGCTATTAGTTGAAAATGAGAGTGGAGCTCAGAGAAGTGCTCCATACTGGAAAAATAATGTATGTCAGGACAACTAGGAAGTTAATGTGATCATTCAAGGAGAAGGAAGAATATCACCGTAGGGATTATCAGTGTGTAAGGGGCAAGCGGTGGTGGTAGAGACAGCTAAGGAGACTGGAAGGAGCAAATCAGGGAGACAGTGGAACACTGGTTACAAGATGTTTATTAAAATCATTGAGGGGCTTCCCTGGTGGCGCAGTGGTTGAGAGTCTGCCTGCCGATGCAGGGGACACGGGTTCGTGACCCGGTCTGGGAAGATCCCCCATGCTGCGGAGCAGCTGGGCCCGTGAGCCATGGCCACTGAGTCTCCGTGTCCGGAGCCTGTGCTCCGCAACGGGAGAGGCCACAGCAGTGAGAGGCCCGCGTATTGCAAAAAAAAAAAAAAAATCATTGAGGCCTGGTTTTGAATCCTGACTATCTTTTACTAGTAGTGTGACCTTGAGCAGGTTATTCAACCTTTCTGAGCCTCAAATTCCTCCATAATGGAGATAGTGAAATGCCTATCTCATTATGTTACTGGTTAGTCAAACACAGGCAAATAATTAGCAAGATGCCTGGTTTGGAGTGGGTGCTCAGTGTGGTGGCTTTAGATAATTAGTAGGAAAAGAAATAAACACTAAGAGTGTCCTGTAAGCCAAAGAAGAAAGGAGAGAACAGTATTGTCAGTTGGTGCATGGGAACCAAGTATAAGATTGTAAACATTTTTGGGGATTTGACAAATAGGCAGTTGGTGATCTTTGACCTATGTAAGAATATATTCAGTGGACTAGTGAAGGTAAAACTCGTTTGTTTTGGATTGCTGAGAAATGTGGAAATATACAGCTGCTGTGAGCACTGCCGTCTAGAAAAAAATGACACTGTATTGTAAACATGACAAATAAACTTCTCCCAACTCCCTTACCTACTCATAGAAGAGCCTGTAATTGGGCCAGGAGTTGGATTGTTGTCTCTGACAATTAATAGCTCGAGCATGTAGAGTGACATGAAACAGGGTGTGGACTCTAGAAGTAGTCAGATGACTTAAGTTTTTTTCTGGAGTTAGGTGGAGTAAAAATCAAGGTTGTAGCTTTGTAATTTTTATTCCTTGGGGAAGATAATTTAGGGATTTTTATAAAACTCAGATTTGGGCACTTTTGTGAGACATATTTTCTTATAGTTTTAGGGAATATTACCTTTTATCAACCAAATGAATTGTTTTCTATAACAGTGAAGAATGTGGAGACTGATCGAAGTGTCCCAGGAGTGAAGATGTTTTTTGGACACGAGATTGTGAATGGTGAGAACTTCATGGTCCCTAAATGCTGGTATTGGGATTTGAAGTAGCAATAAACTCATTGCTCTGCCTCATTTCAGTGTTTGGGGGTGGGAGGAAAAACTAAGATGTTATCTTGCATTTATGAACTCTTAAAGCTGGTATTTGGGAATTGTCCCTTATCTTACTGTTTCGGGAGGTACTATGAGCAGAACAGTCGTAGAGAATTTTAATCATGTTGGTTTTACAATGTGAGGACATCTGGTACTCAGTACTAGAGACTCAGCTCGCAGGCAGAGTTAGGAATCTGAACAGAAAGAACTGTCGGGCTTCCCTGGTGGCGCAGTGGTTAAGAATCTGCCTGCCAATGCAGGGGACACGGGTTTGATCCCTGGTCCGGGAAGATCCCACGTGCCATGGAGCAACTAAGCCCGTGCACCACAACTACTGAGCCTGTGCTCTAGAGCCCGCGAGCCACAACTACTGATCCCAGCCCTTGTGCCACAACAACTGAAGCCCGCAGTCCTAGAGCCCATGCACCTCAAGAAGAGAAGCCACCCCAGTGAGAAGCTATGCACCTCAACGAAGAGTATCCCCCGCTCGCCACAACTGGGGAAAGCCCGTGCACGGCAACGAAGACCCAATGCAGCAAAAATAAATTAATTAATTAATTAAAAAAAAAAAAAAAGAAAGGAACTGTCTTGCTCAGCAAGTGAATTTAACACCAGACATTCACAGTACATTCACAGTCCCTTATTTGAAACCTTGGGGCCAAATGTTTCATATCTCAGGCTAGTTCTGGATTTTTCGAAAAGCTAACAAAGGGTATATACTGGTCATATTACATAACACCTCAAGTGGGTCTGGTCAGCACTCTGTAATAAGACACATTTCTACAGAGAAACGGATGGATAATCATATTAAGTGGAATAAAATAGGACTGTAAATAGTATGTCAGTTCAGGTTTTGCTGCCAAAAGAGTTACAAAGAATTTTTGGTTTTCAGACCTTTTGGGATTTTGGAATTGTGGGAAGTAGCCCTGTTCTTTATTTCTGCCAGCTAAAACAATTTAGCAAGAATAGATACAATTGTTTGCCTAAAGGAAGAGCTACAGAAGCTCATCTGGTCAGTGTGCTTCAGACAAGCCAAATGAGGTAAGAGAAAAGGGTTAGGAACAAGAACTATTCTTTCAAGAACTCAAAAGCAAAAAGCCTTCCAAGGACGAGTGAATATCAGTGTGGGGTGGAGGGGGGTGGCGGAATGGGTGAGCTGGAACCTCATAGAACTGTACATTTCTTACCATTGGGGCAGATATGAGGAAAGGAAAGGACTCCTGCCAATCAAGACCTACTTTAAAGCAGACAAGTCCAGCCAGCTTTTTTTTTTTTTTAGTATTTCTTTCTTTCTTTCTGTGGCTACGTCAGGTCTTAATTGTGGCATGCAGGATATTTTAGTTGTGGCATGCATGATCTTTAGTTATGGCATGTGGGATCTTTAGTTGCGGCCTGTGGGATCTAGTTCCCTGACCAGGGATCGAACCCAGGCCCCTCTGCTCTGGGAACGTGGAGTCTTAGCCATGGAACCACCAGGGAAGTCCCCAGCCAGCTTATATAACTGTCGTTTCTTACTGAGTACGCTACTGTAAACACTCTTTGTCCTTTGAGCACCTTTTAAAAATGGCAGTGATGGTGGTGGAAGTAGAGGGATTGTTAATTGTGTGTTAACTGTTAGAATTTGCAGTAGAACAGAGCTCTGGACTGGAACAAAAGCTAGGCTGTGGGTGAGTTTGTAAAGAAAAATGAAGGAATCACTACTACTATCTCCTAACTCAGGAGAAGGCTGACCACTGACCAGCTTTGTGATCTGTACACATGGATTCATTTCTTCCTAAATTCATTCTCAGGGCTTGGCCTTTGTTTATAATTTCTAGGCTTAAAGGATGGCCGCCTTCTTCTTTCTTTGCCCTGTGGCTCAATCAGCCATAGAGGGTTCTCCCTGAAAAGCACCTTGAATAAGAATTATCAAGATAAAGGATAATAATTGATTAATCCGAGTTTTGAGTGAATTTTACTTTCTCTGACCCAGACTCAACACTTCTAGACAGTGTAGGAGAAAGAGACATTTGAAACATAGTTGCCCCTGAGAAACTTTTTCCATGAAAAGTACCTAAGGGTACTTAATTGAATCTTAGATGCCATTAATGACAATGTGCATTATTTCTTTTCCCACCCTAAGAAAGAAAAAGAAGCTGCCAATTAAACTATCATGTGCATTTACTGTAAATCATAACCCATTTCAGAGTTGTTTAAAATGTGCATCTTAGAATCAATGATATACATATTTCCCTGTATTCCGTGAACTGTTAGGTTAAAAATAAATGGTTTCAGAGCCTCTGTGGAATGTTTCTCTCATATTTCTTTTGCAATTTCCAATCTAGCTTTTATTACCTTTCACATCACTGAACTGTTAATGCACCAGCCTGAGAAAGTGGAAGGGACAGTGTGAATGATTTAAGAGAAAACCCCCAAACAGTACATAGTGTGAAGGAAAATGCATTAGGATGGGAATAAATAGGAAAGAAAAGATATCTCTAGAACCATTCTGCATGACCACAAAGGTGTCCTGGAACAAAAAAGGGTAAAGTGGATATGTAGAGAGGTTCCTAATCCTGCTAAATGACCAAGGAAGCTATGTAGGGATGTAAGATTAGGGGTCTTCAGCACTTTGGATAGTCTTTTCTGCTCTATTTATTGCTGGCCGATGAAGCCTCTATGGACTAACATTTCATTCCCAATTACTGTCTGTGTTACATAATCAAACTGTGCGTGTGGAGGGGACAGAGGGATAGTTAACTGCTTTCAGATTGGAAGCCCTGTTGGAAGCCATTTGGTTATTTTACAGTGGAACTACTGGATGAAGAAGAACAAGGTGCAGTAAGAGAAAAGGCATCTTCTGTTAGGTATGATGGAATGATTTTCTTAATTATGATGTTACCCAGATGTACACATTAGGGTAGAAAGCCTTAACTGTAATTTGCTAGCTGTGTAATTCCTAAAATGAGAAGAAATAGGTGGGTGTTTCCTTCCATCTTTAGATGGTATCTTCAAATCAGTGTAAACAGTGGATGAATGGGTTCTCTATGAAAGATCCAGAGTCCTTACCACTGATGTGTGTATGGCATTAACAACAAGGAACAAGTTCACCTAAGTGTTGTTTTTTGTAAGCATAGTCTAAATACAGAAAGAAACAGGATGGATACAATAAAAGATGAAGACCTAAATGTATATAAGCCTGCTTCTCCTGCCTCTGAGGCACCAACCACTACTCTGCTAAATGACCTCAAGTACAGCCCATCAGGTGAGTACCAGGGCTCTGAATTTTCTAGGCTCTCTTGTGGTTCAGAACTCTTCAGAGTTGGTATAACCCCGAGTCAAGGTTCTATGTGGAATTCTCAGCTAGGCTGTTGTTTCTAGGGTCCGAATTAAGATAAAATATCATGATTCATTTGTTTATTTCATATTTGAGTGCACACTATATGCCAGACATTGGGGATACCAAAGTTTGGTATCTCTACCTTTATCGAGTTATGGTGCAGGAAACACACTAAATAAGATAAATTAGTATACTATATAGTATGCTGGTGCCACATGTTAAGTAGAAAAAAACAGAAGAAAAAGAAGAAATGTGTGGAGAGGGTAGTTTTACAATTTTTGAGTGTCCAGGACAGGTCTTGTTGAAATAGTGACATTTGAAGTAAAGGCTTGAAGGAAGTGAGGGACCAAGATGTATGAATATCTGGGGGGAATGGTTTTTAGGCATAAAAAATTAGCAGATGCAAAGGCCTGATAGAGGAACATGCCATGATCTTGAAGGGACAGCAAGGAGATGAGTGTAGCTGGAGCAAGGAGAGCAGTAGGGGATGAAGTGGGGTGAGTGGATCATGGAAGACTTTGTAGATCATTGAAAGGACTTGGCTTTTACTCTGCAGTGAGAAGAGAAGCCATTGGAGGTTGCTTGGTTGTTTTTTTCATTTCCCTAATGACTAAGGATGTTGAGGATTTTTTAATGTGCTTATTTGGCATCTGAATATCTTTGGTGAATGTCTATCCATATCTTCTGTTCATTTTCTTATTGGACTGTTCTCTTATTATTCAGTGTTGGGAGTCCTTTATATATTCTGGATACAAGTCTTTTCTCAAATATATGCTTTGCAAATGTTTTCTCCAAGTCTGTGGTTTGTCTTTTCATTCTCTTAAAGCATCTCTTGAAGAGCAGACATTTTAAATTTTGAAGTACCATTTATCCATTTTCTTTCTTTTATGGATTGTGCTTTTGATGTCATATCTAAGTAATCTCTCCTCGCTCAAAGTCACAAAGATTTTCTCCTTTGTTTTCTTCTAGACATATTAGGTTTTACATTTAGGTCTATGATCCTTTTTTTTTAATGTTTATATATACTTTTTTTAAACATCTTTATTGGAGTATAATTGCTTTACAATGGTGTGTTAGTTTCTGCTTTACAACAAAGTGAATCAGCTATACATATACATATATCCCCGTATCTCCTCCCTCTTGCGTCTCCCTCCCATCTTCCCTATCCCACCCCTCTAAGTGGTCACAAAGCACTGAGCTGATTTCCCTGTGCTATGCGGCTGCTTCGCACTAGCTATCTGTTTTACATTTGATGGTGTATATATGTCCATGCCACTCTCTCACTTTGTCCCAGCTTCCCCTTCCCCCTCCCCGTGTCCTCAAGTCCATTCTCTACATCTGCGTCTTTATTCCTGTATGATCCATTTTAATTTTTGTATATGATGTGATATGGACAAGGTTTTTTTTTTCCATATGGACATCCAATTATTCCAGCACCATTTATTGAAAAGTCTATATTTTCTTCCTTCAGTTACCTTTGCACCTTTGTCAAAAATCAGTTTTCCATATGTATATAGGTTTATTTATTTATGGACACTCTATTCTGCTACATTGATCTAATTTTTCTATCTCTACACCAATACTAGACTGTTTTGTTTATTGTTGATTTATGATAGGTCTTGAAAACAGGTAGTATTAGTTCTCCAACTTTGTTCTTTTTCAAAGTTGTTTGAGCTGTTCTTTGTTCTTTGCATTTCCCTATGAATTTTAGAATTTTTTTTTTTTTTTTTTTTGGTACGCGGGCCTCTCACTGTTGTGGCCTCTCCCGTTGCGGAGCACAGGCTCCGGATGCACAGGCCCAGCGGCCATGGCTCACGGGCCCAGCCGCTCCGTGGTATGTGGGATCTTCCCAGACCGGGGCACGAACCCACGTCCCCTGCATCGGCAGGCGGACTCTCAACCACTGCGCCACCAGGGAAGCCCTTCCCTATGAATTTTAGAATCAGCTTGTTAATTTCTACCAAAAAAGAAAAAACTCTGCTGGAATCTTTTTTGGGATTACAATGAATTGATAGATCAGTTTGGGGAATATTGACATCTTAACAGTGTTGAGTATTCCATTCCATTAACCCAGTATACCTCTACATTTATTTAGATCTTTAATTTCTCAGCAGTGTTTTGTAGTTCTCATTGTATGTCTTACACATCTTTTGCCATATTTATCCCTAAGTATTTCTATTTTTGTACTATTATAGGTTTTTTTTTTTTTCGTGGTACGTGGGCCGCTCACTGTTGTGGCCTCTCCTGTTGTGGAGCATGGGCTCCGGTTGCGCAGGCCCAGCGGCCATGGCTCACGGGCCCAGCCGCTCCGCGGCATGTGGGATCTTCCCAGACTGGGGCACGAACCCATGTCCCCTACATCGGCAGGCAGACTCTCAACCATTGCGCCACCAGAGAAGCCCTAGAAGGCATTTTTTAAAACTTCTATTTTCCATTGGAGAGTTTTGAGCAGAAGAGTAACATGATCTGACTTCTGTTTTTACAAAATCCCTCTGGATGCTGTATAGATGCTGAGAGGAGGGCCAACGTAAGAGCATGAATACTAGTTAGGAGGCTACTGAAATAATTTTGTTTAGTGGGTATGGTGGTTTGGACCCTCGTGGTGGCAATATGGTTGGTAAGAAGTGGAATTCTGCATGTATGTTGAGGTGGAGCCAACACAATGCACTGACAGATTAGATGTGGTTGTGAGAGAAAAAGAGGAAACAAGGATGATTTCAGGGGTTTGGGCTTGAGCAGCCTGAAGTATGGGAAGGATTCTGGGTGGGAAAGGTTTTCGGGAGATGGTTAGGAGTTTAGTTTTGGTCAACCTAAGTTTGAGTGTAAGCTGAGAGCTGAAGACAAAGATTTGAGGTGGAGATATAAATTCAAGATCTAGCCTATAAATGATATTTAAAGCCTTGAGACTAGATGATATCACCAAGAGAGTAAGTATGGATAGAAAAAAGGAAGTGGTTTATGGACTATGTCCTGAGCCACTCCAGAGTTTTAAAGTTTGGGAGATGAAGAAGAACTATATGTTATGCTGTACCTCTAATCTTTTAAATTACATAATTAGAAAAATAATTAATTTTCAGGATCCAGAGAATTCCAAACGTGTGGACATTGGTCCATCTCCAGGACTAATTTATTTTAAACTATTATTTTTTATTATGAATGTGCTTTTAGAAAATGCATGTCTTAAATACTGTATGATATCACTTATATGTGGAATCTAAAAAATACAACAAACTAGTGACTGTAACAAAAAAGAAGCGGACTCACAGATACAGAGAACAGACTAGTGGTTCCCAGTGTGGGGGGTATGTAGGGGTGGAGCAGTGGGAGTTACAAACTATTGGATATAAGATAGGCTACAAGGATGTATTGTACAACACCGGGGAATATAGCCAATGTTTTCTAATAACTGTAAATGGAGAGTAATCTTCAAAAATTGTATAAAATTTTTTTTTAAAAGTCCATGTCTTGAAGTATTCAAGACATAAACTTATGATGAAGGAAACATTACTGGATTATCAAAGGAAATGAGTAAATATTTTATTTTATAAGATATCATCAGTTGGGCTTTTGTTTATTCTCAACTGACAAATAGGATGCTAATAGTGTTCACTACCGGATGGGCTGACGCAGGTGATAATGAAATAGTTCTCAGTATTCTAGGCTTAGTCTCAGTAGTTCTAGACATTTGAGTTGCAATAGAGTAGGACTTTAGGATTATGGCTAAAATTAGTGGGAGGGCTATTCTATTGCCAAGGAAGACAAATATCTATAATAATATTCTCCTGTAGAGGAAGAGGAGGTGACATACACAGTCATTGATCATTTCCAGCAGAAATTTGGTGCTGCAGTAAGTATTGCCCTCAATCATTCTTCGTATTGTCTGCAAATGGGTATCATGTCTATGTTTCATAAATTTCTCTCTTATTATAAGATCATTAATGTTTTTCCTAATGAGTTAACAAAACATCTGAGAGCCAGCTATTTGCCAGGCATTGTTCTGAGGTCTGGGTTATAATAATAATCAAGACAAAGTTCTAGCCCTGAAGGAGCTTATTTTAATGCAAGAAAATAAACACATAATTGTATATCAACTGGTGGTAAGTGCTATGAAAAAAACGTATAGTATGGTGAATAGAATGACAGGGAGTTCCTATTTTATTTAGGGTAGACAGAGAAAACCTCTGTGAAGAGGTGACATTGGAACAGAGATCTAAAAGAAGTAAGGGAGCTAACCATGTGGATGTGTAGTAAAAAACTTAAAGAAGGCATAATTACAAGTGCAGAGGCCCTGAGGCTGAAGCACACTTGACTTGTGTGGAGGAACAGCAGGGAGGTCATTGTGGCAGGACCACAGTGAAAAAGAATGTTAGAGAATGGAAGGGGGCAGGAGGCAGGTCAGGTAGACATAAGGATTTTGAGTTTGACTTGAGTAAGATGGAGAGCCATTGGCAGTTTTAGAGGAGAGTGAGAAATTTTTTTACTTATATTTTTAAAAGACCAGTCTAGATGCTCTATTTAGGCAATTTCTCTATAATATTTTTTAATTTGAGATGTGGCAGTAACTAATTATTCAGCCTAGGCTATGGTTCACAGTTAGACTTTAGGGAAGTCGTTAAGGTTTTGTTTAGGAGCAAGCTTATGCTCGTGTATGCACAGGTGTATTTTTTAAGAGAGGGTTAGCTTTCAGCAGATTCTTTGTTTTTTAAACAGCTTTATTGAGATATAATTCACATGCCATAAAATTTACCAATTTAAAATGTACACTTCACTGGATTTTAGCATATTCACAGAATTGTACATCCATCACCACAGTGAATTTTAGAACATTTTTAATACCCCAAAAGGAAACCCCATATTCCTTAGCTAACACCTCTAATCCCTTCTGAGTACCCCCAGCCCCCGGCAACCGCTAATCTATTTTCTGCCTCTATGAATGTGCCTGTTTAGGACATTTCATATAAATGGGATCATACGATGTGTGGTCATTTGTGATTGGCTTGGCTTCTTTTGCATAGCGTAATATTTTCAAGGTTTATCTATGTTATAGCGTGTATCAGTATTTCACTTATTTTTGTTGCCAAATAATATTCCTTTGAATGGATATACCACATTTCATTTATCCTTTCACCATTTGATGGACATTTGGGTTGTTTCTACTTTTTGGCTATTATGAATAGTGCTGCTGTGAACATACATATACAAGTTTTTGTGTGGACATGTTTCCATTTCTGTTGGATAGATACTTACAAGTGGAATTGCTGGCTCACGTAATAACTCTGTGTTTAACTTTTTGAGGATTGGCCATACTGTTTTGCAAAGCTGCTGCACCACTTTACTTTCCCACCAGCAGGGCGTGAGGGTTCCAATTTCTCCACATTCTTACTGACACCATTATCTGTCATTTTAATTATAGCCATCCTAGTGGTGTGAAGTAGTATCTCATTGTGGTTTTGGGTTTTTTTTGTTTGTTTGTTTTTGTTTTTGTTTTTCGGTACGCGGGCCTCTCACTGTTGTGGCCTCTCCCGTTGTGGAGCACAGGCTCCGGACACGCAGGCTCAGTGGCCATGGCTCACGGGCGCAGCCGCTCCGCGGCATGTGGGATCTTCCTGGACCGGGGCTCGAACCCGTGTTCCCTGCATCAGCAGGTGGAATCTCAACCACTGCGCCACCAGGGAAGCCCTTGTTGTGGTTTTGATTTGCATTTCCCTGAAGGCTAATAGTGTTAAGCATATTTACATGTGTTTATTGGCTATTTTTTTTCTTTTTTTAAAAAATTTTTGTTGGAGTATAGTTGATTTACAATGTTGTGTTAGTTTCAGGTGTACAGCAAAGTGAATCAGTTATACCTATACATATATCCACTCTTTTTTAGATTCTTTTTCCATATAGGCTTATTGGCTATTTGTATATCTTCTTTAGAGAAATATCTATTCATTTGCCATTTTAATTGAGTTACAAGAATTCTTTATATATCAACAGATGCTTTAAAGCGTCCATGACAACAACAACAAATAATAGGATAAGAACTTTTGCTCTGGAAATTTAAAGAGTTGGTTGGAAATTCTTATCAATAGGGAAATACAGCTTTTGTTCCCAGTTTTGCAGCCTTCTTATTGATTGAGAATGGAACTGAAGTTCAGTCCCCTTTTTTTAATCATTGATGAAAGATACTCAGAATATAGAACACTTTATGCTCTGTAAAGGAAGATATTGTGCTAGTGTAAGTTACTTTGCCTTTCTATTCTTGAGTAATTTATCTACCTGTAAAATGGAGAGAATCTTGTGCCATGCAGATATTTTCATGGATTATGCAGTAAAGATTTTAGAATTGTATAATGTTTTGAAATATGATAAGAATATAGATAATAAGAGGACCAGCATATGTTTCCAGGATACCCCTATTTCAGTTTTGAATAATTTAATGAATCCAAGACTTTAAAGGACCTATTAAGTCTGTGTTTCTCTCATTCTGAACAGTAGATACTGTGAGACTCAGCCACTTTGTGAGTTCCCTTTAGGTACAGTAAATTGCTGTTCTTTGCATTAGAAATCTTGCCATAAAGACTAGAAACCTTTCACTGTAACACCAGTGGTAACAAAAGGTATCTGAGTTTTCAACTCTTATTAGCATTTGCAATATGAATGATTTATTTTCCAGTTGTGGAATAACTTTGTGAACCCTGAAAAGAGGATCAGAAGCATTCAATGTGATTTGTGTGTGTGTGTGTGTGTGTGTGTGTGTGTGTGTGTGTGTGTGTGTGAAGCAGACATGTGTTTCGGATTTTGTAAGTTTAAAAAAATATGATCCACTTTGTTTATTTCTAGCCATTTTACTTGTGCCATTCATGATGTCATAATTGCAACATTTATTTCCTGGAGATTTTTATTTTCTTCCTTTTCTTACCAGATGCTCCACATCAAGAAGCAAAGTGTCCTGAGTGTGGCAGCAGAAGGAGCTAATGTGTGTCGTCATGGGAGACTGTGTTGGCTTCAGGTAAAAGATTTCTTAAAACTTTTTATTTTGAAATAATTGTAGATTCACTGGTAAATTTATTTTAATTGTCTTTTTTATGTCACCCCAGTGTCACTGTCCTATAGCTTGTTTGGAATGCCTTTCAATTTTCTTGTACTCAGTTTATTATTTTCAAAGGAAAGAGCTTTAGGGACTTCCCTGGTGGTCCAGTGGTTAAGACTTCTTGCTTCTGGGACTTCCGTGGTTGCTCAGTGGTTAAGAATCTGCCTGCCAATGCAGGGGACATGGGTTCGAGCCCTGGTCGGGGAAGATCCCACATGCTGCAGAGCAACTAAGCCCATGTGCCACAACTACTAAGCCCGCGCTCTAGAACGTGAGCCACAACTAGTGAGCCCGCATGCCACAACTACTGTAGCTCACGTGCCTAGATCCCGTGCTCCGCAGGAAAAGCCACCACAGTGAGAAGCCGGCGCTTGTTGCAACTAGAGAAAGCCTGCGCGCAGCAACGAAGGCCCAACGCAGCCAAAAATAAATTAAAAAAAAAAAAGACTCCGTGCTTGTACTGCACAGGTTTGATCCCTGGTCAGGGAACTAAGATCCTGCATGCTGTGTGGTGCAGCCAAAAAAAGAAAGGAAAGAGCTTTATAATCATCGTTGCTGTCTCTGCTGTCTGAGGCTCTACCTGAGGTTTTCTTTCCCAGCTCTGTTCTCTTGCCTTAGACATATGGAGAATTTCTTTTTTTTTTTTAAGATTTATTATTGATTTATTTATTGTATTTATTTTTCACTGTGTCAGGTCTTAGTTGTGGCACACAGGACCTTCGCTTAGGCATGCAGGATCTTTCATTGTGGTGCACGGGCTCCAGGCTGTGTGGGCTCTGTAGTTTGCGGCACGCAGGCTCTCTAGTTGAGGTGCGCAAGCTCAGTAGCTGGTGCACGGGCTTAGTTGCCCCGCAGCATGTGGGATCTTAGTTCCCTGACCAGGGATTGAACCTGCGTCCCCTGCATTGTAAGGCAGATTCTTTACCACTGGACCACCAGGGAAGTCCTGAAATACGGAGAATTTCTTATCTTTTCTCTGGTTGGTAGATTTCCACAGTAGATTTCTGCCACATCATTCTCATTTTCCTGGATCAAGGAGATGTAGGTGAGGATATCCATTATATCCAAAGAACTTTGTAGTGAGCCTTGAATAGCTAGAGGATGGATAGCCACCTTTGGATCAAACTCAGCATCATCAGTATTTAAGGGAGAGTGGGCCAAGAAAGCCAGCTGAATTCCCAATCAATGTCCTCCATCCTTTTTTTTTTTTTTTTTACCTGTGTCCCCTGCATCAGCAGGCAGACTCTCAACCACTGCGCCACCAGGGAAGCCCCCTCCATCCTTTGAGTGAAGACCTACATCAGCCTACTGAGAGAATATTTTTATTAGGATTGGCAGTCTGCCTTCTTGAACTCTTTCCTCTGGAATGTTTACTTTCTCAAAGGGTAAGGAATGGAGATATCAAGCCCAGTTTTGCTCAGGGATTAAAGCACCTCCCTCTTGTTCCATGCACTTTCTAGGTAAACCTTAGTTTTTAGATGACTAGGTTAGAGTTAGCAGCACAAATGCAAATTATTTAAAACAAACCTCCACAAACAACAAAAGCAAAAATAAACAATTTGGACAACATCAAATTAAAAAGCTTGAGATTGGTTCAAGATGGCGGAGTAGAAGGACATGCTCTCACTCCCTCTTTCAAGAACACCAGAATCTCAACTAACTGCTGGACAATCATTGACAGGAAGACACTGGAACTCACCAAAAAAGATACCCCACATGCAAAGACAAAGGAGAAGCCACAGTGAGACGGTAGGAGGGGCACTATCACAATAAAATCAAATCCCATAACTGCTGGGTGGGTGACTAACAAACTGGAGAACACTTATACCCCAGAAGTCACCCACTGGAGTGAAGGTTCTGAGCCACATGTCAGGCTTCCCAATCTGAGGGTCTGGCAATGGAAGGAGGAATTCCTAGAGAATCAGACTTTGGCTAGCGGGATTTGATTGCAGGACTTTGGCAGGACTGGGGGAAACAGAGACTCCACTCTTGGAGGGCACACACAAAGTAGTGTGCACATAGGGACCCAGGGGGAGGAGCGGTGACCCCAGAGGAGACTGAAGCAGACCTACCTGATAGTGTTGGAAGGTCTCCTTCAGAGGCAGGGGGTGGCTGTGGCTCACCAAGGGACAAGGACACTGGCAGCAGAAGTTGTGGGAAGTACCTCTTGGCATGAGCCCTCTCAGAGTCTGCCATCAGCCCCACCAAAGGGCTGGGTAGACTCCAGTGTTGGGTTGCCTCAGGCCAAACAACCAACAGGGAGGGAACCCAGCCCCACCCATCAGCAGACAAGCAGATTAAAGTTTTACTGAGCTCTGCCCACCAGAGCAACAGCCAGCTCTACCCACCACCAGTCCCTCCCATCAGGAAACTTCCACAAGCCTCTTAGCCTCATCCACCAGAGGGCAGACAGCAGAAGCAAGAAGAACTACAATCCTGCATCCTATGGAACAAAAACCACATTCACAGAAAGGTAGACAAGATGAAAAGGCAGAGGGCTATGTATCAGATGAAGGAACAAGATAAAACCCCAGAAAAACAACTAAATGAAATGGAGATAGGCAATCTTCCAGAAAAAGAATTCAGAATAATGATAGTGAAGATGATCCAGGACCTCGGAAAAAGAATGGAGGCAAAGATCGAGAAGATGCAAGAAATGTTTAACAAAGATCTAGGAGAATTAAAGAACAAACAGAGATGAACAATACAATAACTGAAATGAAAACTACACTAGAAGGAATCAAGAGCAGAATAACTGAGGCAGAAGAACGGATAAGTGACCTGGAAGACAGAATGGTGGAATTCACTGCTGCGGAACAGAATAAAGAAAAAAGAATGAAAAGAAATGAAGACAGCCTAAGAGACCTCTGGGACAACATTAAATGCAACAACATTCGCATTATAGGGGTCCCAGAAGGAGAAGAGAGAGAGAAAGGACCCAAGAAAATATTTGAAGAGATTATAGTCAGAAACTTCCCTAACATGGGAAAGGAAATAGCCACCCAAGTCCAGGAAGCGCAGCGAGTCCCATACAGGATAATCCCAAGGAGAAACACACCGAGACACATAGAAATCAAATTGGCAAAAATTAAAGACAAATAAAAATTATTGAAAACAGCAAGGGAAAAACGACAAATAACATACAAGGGAACTCCCATAAGGTTAATAGCCAATTTCTCAACAGAAACTCTACAAGCCAGAAGGGAGTGGCATGATATACTTAAAGTGATGAAAGGGAAGAAGCTACAACCAAGATTAATCTACCCAGCAAGGATCTCATTCAGATTCGATGGAGAAATCAAAAGCTTTACAGACAAACAAAAGCTAAGAGAATTCAGCACCACCAAACCAGCTCTACAACAAATGCTAAAGAAACTTCTCTAAGTGAGAAACACAAGAGAAGAAAAGGACCTAGAAAAACAAACCCAAAACAATTAAGAAAATGGTAATAGGAACATACATATCGATAATTACCTTAAACATGAACAGATGAAATGCTCCAACCCAAAGACACAGGCTTGCTGAATGGATACAAAAACAAGACCCATATATATATACGCTGTCTACAAGAGACCCACTTCAGACCTAGGGACACATACAGACTGAAAGTGAGGGGATGGAAAAAGATATTCCATGCAAATGAAAATCAAAAGAAAGCTGGAGTAGCAATACTCATATCAGATAAAATAGACTTTAAAATAGGGGCTTCCCTGGTGGCGCAGTGGCTGAGAGTCCGCCTGCCAATGCAGGGGACACGGGTTCGTGCCCCGGTCCCGGAAGATCCCACATGCCGCGGAGCAGCTGGGCCCGTGAGCCATGGCCGCTGAGCCTGTGCGTCCGGAGCCTGTGCTCTGCAATGCAAGAGGGCACAACAGAGAGGCTCACGTACCGCCAAAAAAATAAAATAAAATAAAATAAAATAAAATAAAATAAAGAATGTTACAAGAGACAAGGAAGGACACTACGTAATGATCAAGGGATCAATCCAGGAAGAAGATATAACAATAATAAAGATATATGCACCCAACATAGGAGCACCTCAGTACATAAGGCAACTGCTAACAGCTCTAAAAGAGGAAATCGACAGTAACAGAATGATAGTGGGGGACTTTAACACCTCACACCAATGGACAGACCATCCAAACAGAAAATTAATAAGGAAACAGAAGCTTTAAATGACACAATAGACCAGATAGATTTAATTGATATTTATAGGACATTCCATCTAAAAACAGCAGGTTACTCTTTCTTCTCAAGTGTGCACGGAACATTCTCCAGGATAGATCACATCTTGGATCACAAATGAAGCCTCAGTAAATTTAAGAAAATTGAAATCATATCAAGCATCTTTTCTGACCACAATGCTATGAGATTAGAAGTCAATTACAGGGAAAAAAATGTAAAAAACACAAACAAATGGAGGCTAAACAATACGTTACTAAATAACCAAGAGATCACTGAAGAAATCAAAGAGGAAATCAAAAAATACCTAGAGACAAATGACAGTGAAAACACAACGATCCAAAACCTATGGGATGCAGCAAAAGCAGTTCTAAGAGGGAAGTTTATAGCTATACAAGCCTACCTCAAGAAACAAGAAAAATCTGAAATAAACAATCTAACCTTACACCTAAAGGAACTAGAGAAAGAAGAACAAACAAAACCCGAAGTTAGTAGAAGGAAAGAAATCATAAAGATCAGAGCAGAAATAAATGAAATAGAAACAAAGAAAACAACAGCAAAGATCAATAAAACTAAAAGCTGGTTCTTTGAGAAGATAAACAAAATTGATAAACCATTAGCCAGACTCATCAAGAAAAGAGGGAGAGGACTCAAATCAATAAAATTAGAAATGAAATAGGAGATGTTACAACAGACACAGCAGAAATACAAAGCATCCTAAGAGACAGCTACAAGCA